TATTTATATTTATTTTTTTTTTTTTTTTTTTTTTTTTTTTTTTTTTTCAATTAATGCAATTCAACGTGTTTTTTTGTTTAAAATACAATTTGTCATAATTTTACTTCCATACAGTTGTAGTGGTTGCTGTACCTTCGGTGATTGGCCTTCTATTGCTGCTAGCAGTTACCTATACTTTTATTATGTTATGTAAACTTCATGAACTGATTAAACTGGTTGTCCTAAAATGATGCAAAGAAAATAAACTTTCTCTACAGAAAAAAAACATAGCAATTAAGCAATCTAATGTTTGAGCTAAAATAACCATTTTATCATCTGAAAACTGTGGTGTACTAATGTAAAAAACATCTCAATTATCAAGTGTTATTGTTACCTCTTATCTGGGTGGTGCCTGCGAAACTGATGGGCACAGAAGCAGCAGGTCCGTAAGAGGTGTGATGCTGGGCCTGGGTGACAGCAAATGGCTCATGGACTGCAGTGCTGCTTGAGAACTGCCCATGCTCAGAGGAACCAGGGGGAAACCCTGGCTGGCTGGGGAAGTGATGGCCCTACATAAGACAACACTTTATGGATAAGTGCATGCCAGATATGATCTATAAAGTAGTTATTACAGCAACAAATAAATAATCGTAACAGGAACACCTCACTGAATATGACAACACAAATCTTACAAAGACACAATTTTCAAAAAAATGTTTCTTAATTCATCATTTTTGGTATTACTGCTGTTAAAAACAACACATAGCATTACATGTTCATATGTGCTCAATATTTATTTACTTACAGGCATCAGAGGTGTCTGAAACAGCTGTTTATTGCGCTCTCCTAATAGAGAACCAGCCCTATTGTGACTCACTGGACTGCCTTAAACATGCAAAAACAGAATCTGAAACGCTGCAAAACAGCATGGTCTAATTAAGATAACAAAACTGTGCTTTGTTTTACTGATACCTACTATTATTTCCTTAAAAGTGATCCAAGGTCATTGTGGTTTTGCAAACTTCTAAAATGTCACCTTGTATTCTGAGTAGATGCTGTCCTGAGTGCAGAGATAAGCTGGGCTGGTAACTGGCTGAGGGCAGTGTTGTAATTTCACTACAAAAAAAAAAAAAACATTATTCGGTAACACTTTATTTTAAGGTGTCCTTGTTACACGTTACATGTACTTACTATTATAATAACAATTAATTATGCATAATTACATGCAAGTAACCCTAAACCAAACCCTAATCCTAACCTTAACCATATAGTAAGTACATGTAATCAGGGCTCGACATTAACTCTTGTCCGGGACAAGTGGATTTTGTGAAGGGGCAAGTGAAAGAATTTTACTTGCCCGCCCGGACAAGTAACCCATTTAAAACGTCATTAACAAACAATAACTAGGGCAATGATTCTGATTTTATTACTTTCAGTGTAAATGGTGACTGATAACGGATAATGTATTGACAGTATCAAGGTCGCGTCAGTTGAGGCTCACGCAGCCTGTGTGACCCGCGGAGAAATCAGAATTAATAAGCGCAACAGCACATACAAAGAAACAAACACGAACAAACATACTACGGTAGAAAAAAAAAGATAAATATTCTATATAATATAGGTAAGCAACATCACACGACAGAGTGATGTTTTTCCGACTATCAGCACGATTGCAAATGTCACATTTATTTGATGCGCATCTCCGAGCAACACATAACAGCGTTTCGTTACTGAATGATTCAGCATTTTTGAACGAATCGGGTGAGTCAATGATTCAGTGAGCCATTCATGAAGACAGTCACTTGCTTAATTTATTGAATGAATCAGCCATTTGAACGAATCGGTTGAATTAGTGACTCATTAAAACAGTGATCTGCCGCCACCTACTGGTACTTTGGTTTAATATTTAAAAGTATCATTGCATTTTTCCAACATTTCATATTTGTATGTTAAAAAAAAGTAAAACATTAATCTTATAACATTATGCATTTGCAATTTTACTGTGTAAATGCTTTTATTGAACCTCTTATCTTCATGAAACAGTCTGAGTACATACATCTAAATGGCACTTTCGATGAAGCTTCAGTGTTTCCTCTGCAGTGGAAAGATGGAGTTCAAAATGTGGTAGTTCTGTAAGTTGTTTCAGGGTTGGCATCATCTGAGGTCCTCTGAGGGGTTGGAATTAGGGCTGTGCAATATGGACAAAAAAAACCTATCGCGATTTCTTTGATCAATTTTGCGATTTCAATTTGAATCACGATTTTGACACACACAGACATGCATTACAGTCATTAATGCATTCAGTGTGAATTTGAAATATATTTCCAAAAGAAAACCAATTAGAGCTTTATCATATTGCCTTGTTTATCTAAAAGTGCACTTTTCCTTGTTTTAGATCTAGCCAAAAAGCCATGTGTTGACTGTGAAACAGTAAACATTATTTATATGCATTTATGGTGTAATTGCTATAAAGCGATTTAGAAATCGCACAAGCTCAAATCGCGATTTTATTACGATTTCGATTAATCGCACAACCCAAGTTGGCATCATCTCTTCTCAGGTGTTCTGGACCAATGTCAGGCGGGTAGTATTATATGCGTCCGTGTACGCGTGTTTATCAACCTTAAACACTGATGCCCATTGACCTGCAAGTTTTCCATCACTAACCCTTTAAAACTCTTTATTCCAACAGTTTAAGTTTTTCCCTATTAGTGCCCCCCACAACCTGTCTCTGCCTCCAAAATTGTCTGGCACAACTGACTTCATAACAACACAGTAATAGCTGCTGTAACTAAAAAGTAGCCCAGTACACACATTAACCTCAAATGTACATGGAATAATAAATTCACCCCCTACCGTGTTATTACATTATGTTTTCTGTTTGTACTGTTTAGGTTATAATGCTGCATTGCACATCTGAGCTATTTGCACTTATTATTTGTATTCTTAAGCTTTACTATCAATCTGGAAGTTTTAAAATAAATCTTATTGTAACGTTACTTGTACAATGACAAATATATTCTATTCAATTAGCTCATGCTCTCTCTGTATCTAACAAGCCATTGTTCAGTAATAAATTCAATATAATAATTAAAATAAATGATGGACTTTGTCAGAGAGCTTTTGTGAGGAAATGTTATTTTGGAGAGTTTTTTTTTTCTTTTTCTTTTTACCATTGCTGCCCGGATCTTTTCCAGATGTTGAAACTCCTCCTCAGTTTCTCCAATTCTTCTGAGTGTGTTCACTGTATAAATTAATATGGATTAATCTTTGTCAAAGCTGTGTTTGTTCTGTTGTTTGCTCTTTCGCCTCTTCTTGCACGGTTTTAAAATCGATTGAGTTTGTAAACACATACAAATGATAAAACTTTTACTCTATTAAATTTTGCAATTAATCCTCTGAACACATGCATGCTGAACCATGGGCCTAGTCACGGATCACTATCAACTACGATCTGCTCCCTTCACTAAAATGTCACGGTTCCTAAACATGATAACAAATAATATAGATAAATAATGAACACGTCA